TGCCCTGCCAAAACCTAACTTCTATTAAACTTCATAATGGCCAACTGTGGTGCTGTAAGTTAATTCCTCAAAAATTAAAAACAAAAATAAAAAAGCTGTTTTATTAGTCAGACCAATACATTAAACTCACACTCTGACTTTGTATGCGTGATGTTCTACCCTCAGTTCCCACTTGGTGTGTTTAAGTAGCCTTCTGTAAGTGAGGCCTCCAAAAGTCTTAATTAGCTAGCTTGAGTCTCTCCTGAGAATACTGCCTCTGCTACAGGAGGTGGCCTCTGGCTGCACTGTTTGCCTGACCCCTCCTGGCCACACCTGTAGGTTGGAATGGAAAGCTTAGAGGAAGTTGTTTTAAAGTCTGAAGGGGTAAACATCTGCAAGTTGCTTTTGGTATTTTGACTTTTTAATTTTGATTGTATGGTATTGATCTCAGTTGGTAATCCTCAAACTGGGCACGTTTAGAACTTGTCATCCCTTCTGCAAGTGTCTAGGTGAATAAAGCCAGCATTTATGTTAAACATCTTTTCCCTTGAAGTAATTTAATAAATTACTTGAAGTAATTTCATAAATGGTGGTGTGTTCAAGACTGCACTGATAATAAGTACTGCCATACTCAGGAGCCTGTATCTAAGCACACCTTAACAGAACAACAGGGGAAACAGAAAGCAGGTGCAGTCTTTGGGAATTTGTGCAGCAAGTAGTAGCAGTGCTTTGGTGGGTTAAAGATTAACTTTGTAGCACAAACACTTCATCTCAGTTCTGTAGATTAAAAGAACTGTGTACTAGGGAACCTAACTGTGGGATCTCCTAATGTAAAGGAATCTCTTCTCTCACTATTTTTGGACTTAAACAGTTGTTTGTACTGCAAAAATAGTAACCAGCATTTGAAGAAAACAGAAGTAAGAAATAGATACTATAAAAAACAGGAAGAGCCTCTAAGATGTCACTGTTGATTGAGAAATAAGACAGCTGTTAGGTGCATCCATTTTATTTTGCCAGTTTTGCTCAGGGCTTATGGATGTGAAAGGAGTTGGCACTTCTGCTAATAACCCTTTATCTGATATTGAAGGCACTGGAAGTTGCATATTTGTAATGTCAACTTACGAATTTCGACTACAAATGAAGATTGAGCATCACCTGAAGGATGTGTGTTCATATTTCCTCTGCTTCCAGCTCTTTCCTGAGGTATTACATTTGAACTGCTAATATGGTGTGAAGAAAGCTGTCGCGACACGCCAGCAACTGTGTAGTTACTTATTGCAGTATGCTTGCTGTCAGCACTGCTAAGGTTAAACATAACTTTCTGTGCTTCAGAGAAATGAAGTGTGGGCATCTTACTCAGGGAGTAGTGACCTGTATATTTGGAACACCAAAGACTTTGCAAGCACACCTCAAAAAATTCATCTTCAGGATTGCTCTGAGATTACCTGCATGATACAAGTCAAAAATCAGGTGAGAGACATTTGGACTGATTTTCATTTGTTGTAGACTTCTTTACCAAAGCTTTGTTTGTTTACAGCTCTCACAGGCTTTTATTAGTTAGCTTCCTTACAGACTGTTTGCCAATGTATTAGTTTAAAACATTGATTTTTCTTTTAAATCATAGCCCACTGCAACTGGCTGCTATGACTGTAGCCCAAAATACATGTCAGGCCAAAAAAATCTCACAAGTAATTAAAAGCCTGGTGACTTTTATTAGCCATTGACATTTTCAGGGAATGGTAGAAGCTGAAAGTTTAGGTCCCTTGATATTTAATCTCAGGGCTCCTAAGACTAAACCTTGGAAAAGGTTAATAGCCATGCTGCTTGGCATTTATTGTTTGTCTGTTTTTGTAGATGACCTTTTTCTTGTTTAGTTACTGCATGTCTAACTGAACAGAGACAAAAGGGCCAACGCTTCCTACCTAGCTATCTTGAGTGCCTGTCATTTTTGGCCTCTAGCTGTACCTGCTGTTTCTGGGTAGTATCAGTAGCTGTGCAAATGACTGTAGTTGTGATATGACATGGGTGTGTTTAGGGTTAACTTACAAGTAAATAGCTAATATAAAGGAAAAATATTTTCATTTTCCCCTCAGGTTTTCCACAAGATGAGAATCCATCTTGTAGAATGACATTTTTTTTTTCAGGAAGTATCTTATGAGATAGGAAAAGCTTTTTGTGTATCCAGCCTTTGGCTAAGTTTGTGAACAGAAATGAAATATAGCTTTAGATACAGCACTCCCCCAAGTAGAGCTGGGTATGTTTAATTCTTATTTTAGGGCTTCCTCCCACTCACGCTGCTGCCTGGTGCAATGTATGCTCTGGGTGTGTCATGGATGAGAGAGCATGAGGTTTCCCAGAGCCTTCTCCTCACCTTACACCTTGAATATCACCTTACTACCTTATCACATATTCCTCTTACCTACATGCCTCTGGGAGCCTGGACTCGCCCTGTACAAAACTATCCATGTGAAGACCACAGCTCTGTTCTACCAGGCCAGACCAGGTGCCTCTCACCATGCCCTATGTCTTATGGTGGCAGTAGCAATACCACGGAGGGGGTATGCACAAACTCAGCCTTCTTAATTTTTATTTTCATCTTCACTTATGACTGCTGCTCCTTGCCCTTGATAGTTTCAGTTCTTTTTCTCTGAATCTTCTCAATGTCCTTGCAGAGTGTGATTAGAACTAGTCATAGAACTCAGGATATGAGCAGGCTGTGGTTTTTGTACAGTGGTGAAATGACAGCTTCTGTCTGCACTGTACCTGTGAAACTTAAGGTAAGCTGAGGGCTTTTGGATGGGAGCCTGGGCAACCTGGTCCAGTACGAGATCTGGAGATTGATGGCCCTGCCTGTGGCAGAGGAGTTGGAACTAATGATCCTTGGGGTCCCTTCCAACCCAAGCCATTCAATGGTTCTGTGCTTCTATGGATCAGAATCCTTGTGCTTCTATGGATGATAATCCTTGTGCTCCATGTCTACTGGCAATTACTCCCCTCCTGCTGCTCTGCCAGTCACTGAGGCAGTTTACCTTTTTGCAGGAGCTCTGCTGACTTGTTCCTGGTAGTGTTTCTTCGTGTACTCAGCGATCTTTTTCTCTGTTATGACCTTCGCTTTTTTTCCAGGAATGGAAATCAGACACAACAGTCTGATTATTTTCTTTTCCACAGAGATCCTCTTTGGAACCTCTTTGTGTGGAGGGGAAGCCATTTACTCCAACAAATGCATATAAAGGAAATTCTCACTCGTTGCCATTTTCCAGCTTAGCAAAGGAAAACCCTATCTCAACTATGTCTTAAAATTTCATGAGTCAAAAAAATATTGTTTTGTTTTTCCTCCAGATGTGGGTTGGCAGCACTGGAACATCACAAGGCAAAATCAAAGGGAAGATCTACGTGATCAGTGCTGAGAAGAAGACTGTGGAGAAAGAATTGTTTGGTCACGCTGATACAGTAAAGGCTCTTTGCTCTGCAGAGGACAGATACGTCCTCAGTGGTGCTGGAAAGGAAGAAGGGAAAATTGCCATTTGGAAAGTTGAATAGCGAAGCTATTCAAAATATGTCTACCTGTGCTGGAAAAAAGACCTCAGACCTTGGTTACTCTAGCTACTTCTTTTTCAGCCACCTGTCAGTGTTATTTTTGTATTTATTCAGCTATTTTCAGTAGCTGCATTGTTGTTGAAAATCAGCTTTGAAATGATTCTCTCCTTTCACCTTGTACTGCACCTGCACATTTGATAAAGAAATGGAAATGTGAGTAGAGGGATCACTGGCTTAAACTTAACCATATTTTATTGTGAAGGATCTGAGTTGAAGGCCAGGTCTGTTATGCAGGCTACATTAAATTAGCTGAAGCTGCTGAGGATAGGCACAGTAATTCCACAGGAGCTTTCTCAGCAGTGCATATAGTAGCTGGAAATGTTCACTGAAATCAAACAAGGAAACAACAAATCCCAGAATGAAAGCAAAAACAAAACACCCAATGGATTTGTTTGACTCATTGAGTTAATGTAAATGCTGAGTATTTATCTTTCTGAACTATGAGCTAGAATTAGCTGGGAAGACTGCCCATGATCACTGTATGTATATATTTATGGTGCTGTATTATTTAAAAGGTAGATACAGGCAGACTCTTCTTGATAGCACTGGAAACTTCCTGCTGCTAAAACAGGATACTTGCATAGTGTCAGTAACTGTTCTTCTCCTAAAAACAATGCACAGCACTTGGCATTTATGAAACTGACATTATTTTCCCCATCTGAAATACTTTATTTAACTACTGTACGCATTACATTTGCTTTTGGAAGCAACCTTTTAGTAACTGTGCAAAGAATCTCTGCCGGTCCTCCCTTCAGCCAACATTTCTGTAATCAGAGGAACTGCTGACATTCAATATAGAACCTTCAAAGTCGTCAAACTATGCCTTAACTGCTGAGGTGGGCATCATCAAATTGCCTTCTGAAGGGTTCTTTCAAGCAGCATTTCCTAATCACTTCCTAATGTACTCTTTTTCCATTGATAACAAAATCATCTGCAAGTAAAACAATCTTTGCAGAATAGTTTTACTTGTATCAGTGCTGAGTGAAGTGGAATACAATGCTTAAATTATTACAAACAGAAGGAACAAATGGGCTGCTACTTTTTCAACAAATATAAGCTGAAACTGTAGGCCTGCTAGAAATGTAAACTACTAAAAGTATACTCCATCTGTAAATCTTTCAGATGAAAGGTTTTATGTGATGATAACTGTAATTTTACCTTTTTAGTGTTTTTCAATTGAAGAATATTAAACACTATATTGATACTCTGGCTTTTCTTTGTTCCTTTTTCCCATATAATGTAGTGCACAATACAAAAACTGTATTTTTTTTGAACTTTTTTTTTTTTTACATTGACTTGCATCACCTCTTTGTGCTAAGAATAATTGCCTGTGTTCCTCTCTGCATATTCTCCTTTCTAAAATCAGCTTCTGCTGCTCATGTGTCCTCCTTCTGAGCCCTTCATCTGTAGCTTCCAGACTCCTCATTTCCTCCCCAGGCAGCTGTCTGGCTGCTGGTGGTAGGTGGAAGTGATTATGTTCTGTCTGCAGAGTCACACGGGAGCTGAGGTGCTGAGGAGATGTCAGTTGTTGCAGAGATGTACCCAGCTACTGCAGCCTGTTTGCCGGTGCCTGTCTGATTCCTGCTGGACTCCTTGGACCTTGCTTTGCTGTCTCTACTGGTACCCTGCTTGTGTAAATGCCAATTTTTATGCTTGAACTCTTCTAGAAATTTTATGATGTATTGATTGAGTAGCAACATAATTTATTGATTAGATGGCTCCTTTTCAGAACACTGCTCTCTAATACCATCTGTTGCTATGGCTGTTGAACACAAGCATATAGGAGTGCAATTTAACCACAGCTGGTAAAACCATGTGAAACACAGATCCTTCAACAGTCATCCCTAAGGGCAGGAGTAGCAGCAATACAAATGTGACTGATTTGGGGGCACAATGTTGTTTTGACTTTCCTATGAGATGAGAAAGCTCAGGTATGTGTTTACTTACTATTTCTGCTTTGCTCCAGTGTTACAGACATGACAGTGAACCTGCAGGAATTGGGCTTTGGGGTTTAGCTCAGTTTTCAGTCCGCTTGTTCTTTTCCTGCTGTTTGCTGGGCCCCTTGGTGGTGGGGAGGGATTCTCAGACCCCAGATACCCTTAGAGCTGCTCTTTGCCATGCTGCCTACTAAGAGTCTGGCAAGTTAAGCAGCCAGCGAGCAGCACACACTAATCCTGCTGATGGATGCCTCTTCATTCATGTGTTCTCTGTTCATCTCTTGTGAGCTTGCAGTAAGCTGTTTGAGGTGAGAGCACCTTCCAGTTGTGTTCATGACACAACACTGTGTTGGCACTTAGCAAGGACTCCTGCAGATGTTGACGTTATAAATGTTACTGCTTGAATGCTTGGATTTTGTAAAACTTCAGCTGAGCTTTTCAAATCAAAGGCAAATTCTCAGGGCTCAAAACGGGCTGCCAAACAGCAGTGGGAAAGTTCTATGTTCTACTGGAGATTGCCTTCTCCTCAAAGTGATGTATAAATATTTATAAATAATGTATAGATAAGCCAGAAAAAAAAGTCGCTGCATCCTGTCAACCTGTATTACAGCCAGTATTTCAGTTTTCACTTGTCTGGAGAGATTTGGGTACTTCTCTATCTCTCTCCACTCAACACCAAGTAACTGCTTTCCTGAGTGGGGATAAAGACCTTCCAAGCTTCAGGAAGCCACTTTTGGAACAGATGCAGCACTCTGAGCTCTCTTGCCCAGCTGCTGAGCTGCTGTTAGGACTGGTCAGCTGTAACTTGAATTCCCCAAGTCTCCCTGTGCTGCCATTCCTTTTCTGCTTCTTTGGAGCACTGCTTGCTTCTTGCAGTTGAAGGTTGACTTTTGATTCCTTTCTGCTGTTGATTTTTCAGGCCGAGGGGTGGCAGTGTTTGCTTCTAGAAATGAGCCGCATTAACCACGGGGACAGGAACTGCTTGAAAAGTCCGGCTGTTGTGTGCTGGCTGTGATTTCCCCTGTGGGCTGTGCAGCGAGGTAGGAAACAGCTTCTTTTGCCTTTCAGCCTGTAGTCATGGGCTGTAGGAGTGTTGTAGGGATAGGCGTCTTTTTTGTCAGTACTGAATGACCCTTGCTCTCATCTGTTTAGAGCAGGGGAGAAAAGCAGAAACCCATTTTAGCACTGCTGTTACTTGACTTGCCTCTGTCACTCTTGCCTGAAGAATCTACTTTCCTTTCCAGCACTCCCCCCATGACTGCTCCAGGATGCAGCACAGGTGCTGGCAGTCACTTGCTGCATGGCTGCAGTGTTGTTCTTGTCTGTGATTGGATCAGATTCCATTTAGGGGCTGAGGACAAAGTAGATGATGCTGGATGTATGCTGAAGGATTGCCCACCTGGTTTTCCTCACTGCCCATCACCCCTGGCACTAGGATTTGGTTCATTTTCTCCTGCAGTGATGCCCCTTTCATCACTGAAGCCCCTCGGGGAGTGTTTCCCTGTGGGATGGATGCCCTCTGCCTGTTTTTCCTGTCCTGAGCTCCCTGCTCCCTTTGATGTGCCCTTGTCCCCTTCTGCCTGTTTACCTCTGTGCCTGCAAGAGTTTCATGTCACAAGGCTGGATGTGATGTGACAGTGTGAAATTCTTGGTGATCCTACAATTTCACTACTTTAATGGAGAAATACTAGTAGCAGGTGGATGATTGGACTGGATGATCATAGATAGAGGCTTTTCCCAACCTTGGTGATTCTGTGATTCTCTGTCTTAGCCTGCGTGTGGCCAACCACACAGTGCACACAAATCCTGCCAGGCACAGCTGCCTGTGCACCCCAGCCTGTTGCATGGGATTGCTAAATCCCTGTTTCTTCCTTCGGCAAGTGGCGTTACCTCTCCATCAAGCATTGCAGGCTGGTGATGGGCATGGGGACTGTGTTACCACCCACCACCCCAGATGGGAAAGGTGGATGTGGGGGGGTTGTGGAGAGCCCAAGGGATGCCGGGACTGACCCCCACTGGGGGTTGGTGAAGTGACAGCAGTTTGCTTTTCTCTTTTTTAGGTCCCATTGCTCTTCCCTGAAATGATCCTGCCTTGTTACTGGAAAGGATGCAGTGAGTTTTCCCATCTTCCCCTTTCTTTGGCATGGTGGACAGAGTTGGTACATGGATGCTTGGGGGGAGATGAATGAACCAAATGCTGCACGGGCATTGATTTCTCTGAGCTGATGCCACAGGGCCTGACAAATTGCCTAAGGAGAATTCACAGACCAAATCCATCAAGTAAGTAAATGGAAATTCAACTAATAAAACAGAGCTCTTTGTGCTCTAAGTTCAACCGGGCAGCTGGCATGGGTAATCTGATAAAGGTGTCCCTTTTGCTTTCCGGCAGAGTCTGAGTGGTTAACCAGTTTTGCTGTGAACTGGTTTATTTGTAACCCAAATAAACCTGTTTCAAATGACCCTGTTTCTTCCAGAAACTCTCCTAAGCCCTCCACTGCACAGGGTGTCACACCATGGAAAAGGAGAGCAGAAAGAGGCTGATAGGCTGGCAAAGGAGGGGTGAGGCTTGAAGAGAAAACCCTGAACTGCCCCTCGTATTCTCAGTGATAGCATTTGCTGGCTGAGCAGGTGACAGCTCCCTCTTACCTCCACCTGGAAACGGGTCAGAACAACTAGGGCAAAAGCAGAATCTGTATTCAGGTACGTGTGCCCCTCCTGGGCTGCAGCAGTTTGCTCTTCTGTCTGTATTCCCTCCCCTGATATACCCAAATGTTCCAAGTGTCGGCTCCATCGCTAAGTGCCTCCACCCAAGCTCCCTACAAACAACACAGGAATGCAAACCACAAACTCTTACTGAAATGTTTATTAAGATCGAAATTCAGAACAACGGATTGGAACACAATGTCTTGTGGAGTAGAATATCTCTAAATTGATTTTTGTTTTCTATGCATAAATGAAAAAAACCAAAACAAGATTATACAAAAAGAACAGAAAGTGCAGAACACAATAAAACAGTTCTCATGCAACAACTCTTTTTCTTTTAACCTTAAAACAGAAAATAAGCTCAACAGTGTAGAAATAAAAAACATACATACATTATGCCGTCTACGCACTCAAACATTCATCTGTGACATTACTTTTCTTTATTCCTTTTTCCTCATAAAACTTAACGTTATGTGTTTAACACATGCTTATAAACATTGCTAAACTCAGCAAGAGCTATTATAGTGCCCCAACTTAATAAGTTGATAAAAAAGTAGTTGTCGTATGGCCAGTTCACACAGGAACTAAATATTCTCTTTTTTATTTTTTCTGCTATGAGATGCCTATATGCAGCTTTCTATTAATATGAGGCATTTAAAATAAGCTGGTCATTGGGCTACCAAAAGGGCTTAGCGTTCATGTTACATCAGAGTAATAACTGAGATCTGCCAATTTGTTAATAGTTCAGTCTTTCTGGTTTTGGGGCTGTTTACTACAATTTGGCTACCACTGAGTAGTGAGCAGGTGCAGGCTAAGGGGATGATTTGCTCAAGGAAGGCTTTGCTTCCAGAGCTCTACCCCCAACTCCAAATTTTAAGAACATGTCAGAGAATGCTGAACTGAAGCTGTGTCCTGGCCTTTCTGTAAAGCTTTAGCAGGCCACAAACACAGCAAAAGCCTTTGAATTTAAGAAGAAACTTTGTTGTGTTTTTTTTGAGGGAAAATATTTGCCACTAAACAGCCATAATTTTCATCCATGTCAGACCTCTCTATGGTGAGGAACAGCAAGGCTAAAGGACAGGGAGAAGCCAAGTGCAGACCACCCCCCTGGAAATGCAATTGAAATCACATAACAAACTGAATATGTGAACAAGCAGACCCTGCTGCTCGAGCAGACTGAAGCCATGTGCTACTGCCATATTACAGAAGGACAACTAAGCCTTTAGGAAGTTACCTAATGTAATTTCTGAACTGCCCAGGCTGCTGAACCTCTAAAGCCAAACAGCAGTTGGTACCTGAGCTCCTGCAGCTTGCCTCTGGGAGCCGCTTTTTCTTGATGCAACATGAGAAACAGAAAACTTTGGGTAGCATCATGTCTTAAAATGACCATTTCCAACGCACTTCACAAACGTTCAGTTTGTCATTTAAGAATAACAGCTAGAGGACTCTCTGTTACCATAAAGTTTCTGCAAAGAAAAATAAAATTTGGTATCTCTTCTACACAGTCATTCATAACATTTCTGTGCAACATTTGGTGTTCATTACATTTATTTGGCCTATTAAAAGGAAGCAAGAACAAAACAGCTGCAACTAAAACCAACTTCTCTTTCGCAACGGATACTGCAGATGCCGAAGCTGCTACATGTGCTTGGAATATCATGCAGGAGTTCACTTACTCACTTAAATAGGATATATATTTATAGCTGAGCTCGTCTCGCGTCAGACAAGGATGAGGGAAAGCCTGGAAGAACTCAGTTGAAAACATTGTCGAGTACAGTGACAAAGAGCACACAACCACCAACGGTATTTTGGCCCGAGCAGTGTGTATATGAAGCTATATACACACAGACACATGCACACACACATACGCACACACACCTAAAAAACTCTCAGTGATTCAACTAGAATTCATCGCAGAGACCGAACCGCAGAGTGGCTGGCGAATCAGCTTCTCATTTAGAGAAAATTACTGAAAAGAGGAGTGACCACCAAAACTGCTGCTCCCTGCGACGTGCCTGCCTGCCTGCCTGCCTGCCTAACTAGCAAGGAGGAAGCTTTCCCAGATATCAACCACAACTTCCTCCACCTTCACTGGCAGGTGTGGTCTCAACCCACATTACTGCAAGAGATGTGCCATAGCCATGAAAAGCCTGCCTTCTGTGGTGGTGACAAGGGTGATGAAGGCCAAGCTCAGCACAGGGTGGGCAGATGCATTTTTAATGATGGAACTGAGGCTTTATTGAGGTATCTGGCAATAATCATTACTGGTGCTGTTGTCATTCAAGTGCTCAGGGGATTTGGATGAGATGGGAAAGAGATGAGGAAGGCTCAGCCCCGCTCACCATGGGCTCTGCAGTAGAAGCTGGGAGGGTAAATGCCAGCTTCCCTCTGAGAAGGAATTATTTCAAACTGCAGGGAAGGGCTCCAAATAAAAGGGGAAAAGGGCAAGGAGTTTCAAGGAGCACTAACCTCTGCTGGATTTACTGGCTTCCTCCCTCCTGATGATGAACAACCCACATCTTACCACAACTGCTTACTGCCAGCGCTAGCCAACACAACCAGATTTGTATTATAAAAAGCCTGTTTGGGTCATAAATCTCTATGAAAGTCATCTAACCAGCAGGAAGGGAAACATTCCTAAGAAATTATTGCTTCTGGAATCTGTAATTGCCAGCCACAAACAGTTTGAGCCCAATAAGACTCTTGTGATAATCCAATGGTGCACAATCCTCACTGTGCCTTTCGGAGCAGTGCGGTTTGAGCTGCTCTGCTTTCATGTGAAATACTTCAGGACATGCAGCTTGCCGACCGCAGAGTCCTAGTGAAAAGCTCAGCAATCTGAGCTCTATCAGTGTCTCTTGTAGGGGCGCTGCGCGCCACCCAAGACTGCAGCAAAATTCATTAACGTTGTTTACAGTATAGAGCAACTTGGAGTGAAACCACAAAACCACAAACCTACTGCAGTGAAGGAGATGGAGCACGCAGGATAAGTTGGACTGTACAGCAATACTGGCAAGTAACAATGATACTTGCTGTCATCAGGAATTAAGTAAAGCCCCTTCAACTCTCTCTTCTGCAATGAAGACGTAAAATCATGCTAATTTATATTTTAATTGTGACAAAAAGGAAAGTTCGTATCAAAAGGTGAAGGATGCATTTAGAAATAAATGAGTGCCCACTCCACCCTGAGATGCCCCGGGGTGAAAAGGAAAGTTCTCAAATTCAAGAGAAAGCATTCGATCAACAGATGTCAGAAACGATCCCTGTGAGCGCAGGGGAAGCGAGCGCGGTGCTTTCACAGCCTGGCCGAGGGACAGGAGGAGATGCTTTGGCAGGGGCTGCCCGAAGTTAGCTCTTCTGGCAATACTACAAATACTTTGGTGTGTTTACAATGGATAATTATTTCCTTCGGTTTTGTAGGGCAGTGAAATAGAGCTTCCTGTTACAAAGCAGTGTGCATATTTATGTGTTACAAACACACTAAACAATGCCATAAACAATCCCATTTTAATGTCAGTTTCTAGAAACGAGGCTGGGACAAACTGGACCTGCTCTGCCTTTGACTGAAACGCTCTAGGTTTGAGATGTCATCCTCACCGCTTGCCACGACACAGAAAACTAAATAAACGCATGCAACATCAGTCTGCAAGAGGGAGCTTCAGCATCTCCTCCTTCCTTGCAGCTGGACCTTGGTGACTCGACTGTGCTGTGAAAGAAACCTTGGCTTACAAAGGTGCTATGCAGAGCAGTAGTGGTTGGAAGCTACATTCACCATCAAAGAACTAGTGAGTGGTGGGGAAATAGGTAAGGCTGGCAGCGACCAGAAGAGCTATAAAAAGTGTAGCAGAACCTTGCAAGAAACAAGGTTCACATAAGGAGTACTTGACAGTGTTCCTTTAAACAAAAGCAGAATCTTCAAGAAGTTTTAAAAATAAAATAGTAACGCCACTTTAAAACATCTAACTCAGTATGTATTTTACACGAATGCCAGTTATAGGGTGAAATATAACACGCATCTCTTCTATATATATGAATATCACCAGAATATATTAAATGTAACTGAGATGATAAAATTCACGGCAGAAGTTCAGTTAAAGTATTTCTCACAACTGCTTTCTTCAGTAAGGTCTCACATTCTTCAGTAGTACTATTCCCCTGTCAGAACACAGTTCACAGTATGTGTTCTAGATAAAAATAATATTCACCTTAAAAAAAAAAAAGATTCTTTGAGACACTTGGAAAAAAACAAAAAAAAGAAGTCCCATGCGATTCCATGTACTTTAGTGCTCGGAATTCCACCAGCCTAAGCACAACACTGTCACTCTTGATAGCAGAGGACATCGCACTGACAGCCTTCAGCTCACAACACACGTATGCCACCAGGAATTCGTCACCGATGCCGGCCAAAACTGCGCGTCAGCTTCAAATATACCAAAACATACATTTCTTAAATACATCGACAATTCAAGTAATTTATTATTAAAAACTGCTTTTCATTTTGAAATATATATATTTCTTTCGAGTGACTATATTGCAGCATGATTTACACATGCAGTTAAAAGTACTGTAGTATCACAAGTTGGAGGCAGCAGAAATCTTACGATGAGCTGTGATTTGTCTGTTCATAGCACAGGACTGACTGCAGCCCGTAGGTCCACGCCAAGATGAGGAAACAGCATCACAAACGCTCCTTAGAAGACGACAGATGGAAGTTCAGTTTCTGAAGTCGCTTTAAGTGGCTGCCGGATCTCTGAGCTTTGCCCACGGACCAGGGCACTGCCAGCAATCCAAACAAAACTGTAACTCAGATTAGCTCAACTCTTTTAAACTCTTCACAGAAAATGTCTTTGCACTGCAGCTACGTCCTGAATCAAGGAAGGGGCACGGAGGTTGCGCTGACGAAATTGGTAGAGCAGCTCAGAAGAGCTCCAGCCTACAATTCCTCCGAGACAGGGACTGAAACAGCAACACGTGAGTGGATTGGATTTTAAGGCCTAGAAACTGTTTCTGACACAAATTTGTATACAACCAGACTATGCCATAAAGTTACAGAGGTAGGCCTTTGGTTCACCTTGTTGTACTGACTCTGTGCTTTAACCTGACTGCTGCGTTCCCAGCCTGGAGGTTAAAGGAGCAAAAAAGTGCAAGTAAGCAATGACTTCCTTCCACCAAATAAGAATTTGCACACCCATCCCACAAAGCTGACCCCAGGGACACCCTCCTTCACGGCATGAAGATGATTAAGTTTAAATGCCAAGAAAGCCCCAGAGCTCACCAGTACGCAAACTCCCAGCTAAGAACTGTCACAGCATATTCCAATGACATTCATCAAATTCAGCACTTGCGATAAAAACCTGTGAGTGCTGATCACCTCTCCCAGCTGCTGTCCTTCCACCTACAGTTCACATCATTCACTCAATGTCACCTACAAGCAGCGGATTTGGGAGTAATTGTTGAGCAGTAAGACCGAAAGGATTCACAGCAGTTTCCCAGAAACTGCAGTAATTGCTTTTTTCCTTGAAAATGAAACAATTCTGTAGTAATTGCACTAACAAAAATATGACTTCTAAAATTAACGTTCAAGAACTGTAGCTGTTAGACCAATAATATGCATATGAAAAGAACTGATCATGATGTCTAAGCATTTCATTCAGCTACTGCACTAGTGAAATTGGAAATGTTCAGACAAATAAACAGCAGGAGACTGTAAGTCAAGATAGCTTCCATTTTCAGTTAGTTAAAAATCAGCTGAAAACTTAATTTTTCTAACTGCTAATTGTATACACTGTCTCATGCAGATTAATAAAACTTACTTGAAATCTAAATGTTTGGTAATAGAAAAGTGTTCAGAAATGACATTTCTAAGCTGTAGGGAAAGCAATTAGCATCATAGCTACCTGTTCAAACCTATATTAAGGACTACAGAACTTCGTTTACATTTTTGCATGAAACTGCCTTTTCTTCTGCAATTTTAGCTACAAGTAGTGAAGATCCTGATTTGTTTTCCTGGAAAAAAAAAAAGAAAAAGAAAAAAAGAAGAGCTCTTGATCCTGCACCTGCACTCCCTGGAATGTGGGTGAGCAACAAGCGGCGGCCTCACACAGCTGACTCGCCCTCCAGCTCCGATGCGGTGGTTCCTTTGCGTGTGAGCTTCAGGACGGTTGGCTTCTCTGTGCTTGTGCTGTTGCCCTCAGTTGTCTCCGGAGGACCCAGTCCTTTCTGTTCTTCCTTTGGCTCTTCATTGACTTCGGGATAAATCACCAAGAAGGTAGCTGTCAAAAACCCCAGGAAGGATCCCACTGAAGCCACCATGGGAATGACTCTGACTGTGCCAACCGCATCCACCACACTACCAAGGGCAGAGGCCACAAGGATCTGGGAGATGTAAACCTGACACGACAGAATAGCACAGTCTATGCCAAATCCTCGCTTCGAGTTCCCAGGGCTGTGGTGAATGTACTGGAAAATACAACAAATGTATGTTAGGAGGTAAAACAAGGGAGGAAACTGCATATTCCAACACTGGTATCTTCCCTGAATGTCTCAGCCACCGTCAACTTTATGCCATCCTTACGGCACCACACTACGCATGTCCAAAGCAACAGCCTCCTTATCTCCTCCTTACACTGAAGCAGATATTTACTGGGGCACTCCTACATGAACTTGACTCCCGGACTAGTTTTTGTAAGAAATTTACATCAGACTGTTGGTGAAAATTATTTCTGTGATTTTAAAAAGAATTTCCTTCCCGATACCAGCACAGAAATGTGTTAAAACATATGATGCTCATGTGGTCTGTAATCCAAATGTAACAGTTCTAAAATCTGGAAAGTAAAGATGTCCTCAGTTCCAGCAAAAATGAGGACATTACATCTCCCCACATCCATAGCTGCATTTTCAGACTCACCTCAAGATCTAAGACTGCCAAGAATCTATCATATCCTCTCACACCTCAGCACAGGATAAAGCAACTTTGAGAAAACCCTACAGAGAACTTCATGCCAATTCCATCTGATTTAATTAGCAGCTCCCAAGGACAAATCTGTGCTACAAGCAGGTTTCTCAAATTACTGGTTTTAAAAAATCTCCTCTGTCACTTTGATCTTCAGAAAAGTGTTCATGCCCTGCTTTGATCAAAATATTTCACGTACCTCTTTAATATCATGGTATTGTCCCAAAAGTGCGTAGGGGCAGTAGGAGATGCTCATAGAAACTATTCCCATAGTGCTGATCATTATCATGGTGACGTACACGTTGGGGAATATCGCCATCACTGCAGTGCCTAGAGAAAATCCCAGCGTGCCCAGGATGTAGATCACTTTTATGCTAAGGTCATAGTTGTCCAAGTATTTCTGTAACAAGGCTGCAAAGATCAAGAACAAAACAAATGCCATCTCAGGGTTTGAATTTTGGGTGGTCCTGTGTAGAGCCAGGAGTTGGACTCGTTGATCCTTGTGGGTCCCCTCCAATTTGGGATATTCTGTGATTCAGTGTCCTCAGTGTCTGCCTCAAATACCTCAGTCTCTGTTCAGACACAAGCTGCTTTGATTTGATGTTTCTCAACAAAGAGGCAGTCTCCATGATCACAGAATCACAGAATGGCCTTGGGTTGAAAAGGACCACAGTGATCATCCAGTTTCAACCCCCTGCTATCTGCAGGGTCGCCAACCACCAGACCAGGCTGCCCAGAGCCACATCCAGCCTGGCCTTGAATGCCCCCAGGGATGGGCATCCACAGCCTCCTTGGGCAACCTGTTCCAGTGCGTCACCACCCCCAGAGTGAAAAACTTCTTCCTAATATCCAACCTAAACCTCCCCTGTCTCAGTTTAAAACCATTCCCCTTCATCCTATCACTGTCCACCCTTGTAAACAGCCGTGATATTGATCTGTGCAGATGTGCCTGCACATGTCCTGCCAAAGGCAGAACTTAAGTTTGTCAAAAGTTTTCAATTTCAGAGTCTCCAAGTGTAAACTGTTATTGGAAAGCAAGAAAAAGACTTTCAGAAACATTGAATTTTCATTGTGATAAAAGGCTTTGCATATGCTTGAATCTTCTAACAAGCAAAATTACAGTTTCTTTATGCCTAATTAGATGCAATTCAATACCCTCTGATGCCATTTTGTGCTATATGCCACTTAACCAATCTTTTCATATTTCCCCCTCTACATTTGAAGGAATTTTTAAAAATTATTGATACTAAAAGGAATCTCTCTGCTTATGTCCACCTGAAATGCTTTTCCAAAATATCTTTCACACTAACAAGGAGGCAGATGTTAGCTGAAGCAGAAATAATTTTCACCTTGTAACACATTTATGAGGTGCATTCCACTGCCTTGTGCAGAGTCTCTTACCTGAACAAACGGCAGCAGTAGCAGCATAGATTACCAGTCCCCAGCATCCCATCTGAACTCCAGCATTATAGGCATGTAACTCAGTTGAATTAGAAGGGGCCTGCGACAAACACAAATGCAAAGCCACTTTCTTTTACTGAGCACGCCCCAGCAATGAGTAGCTGTAAGCAGGTTTGCTAAAGGTAACTGTCTTCTTACCTTTGGATCACCCTGAAAGATGACCTGGCCCATGAAATCTGTATAGAACACAGCTTCAGCAATGATCGAAAACCAAGTTAAGAGGTGACAAACGCACAACCTCAGCAGCTCTTTTGGCATCTTCAGCATCGACAACCACAGAAGTCTGACAGTTGTTTCAGTTTCCCCCTCCTCGCTCTCTGTGTCTCCACTCGAGTTTGTTGTGCCACTCTGATTCCTGTGTCTGTACCTCTGCCGCTGCCGCTTCTGCATGTCATAGATGTCATTCATGCTGCGTGAGGACTTTATCAAGACGATGGCATTGGCCCGACGAAAGCGATAGCGGTGAGAGCCTATTTTGCCATAGTAGGAGAAGGTGTATGATGGCTGACGGTAGAACATGTGCCTCCGCCTCCGCATGGAGTTTGAAGTACTGGATTGCTTCATGCCTATTCTAGCGTGGCCATTGAGGAACTCTTTTGGTAGGGAGCCATTCATATTTGGGATTTTATCTTCATTTAAGCGATTATCAAGCAACATTTCCTCCTCTTTCTCATTGTCCCTGAGGAAAGCAGACAGGTGGTTGAGTTTGGACTTCATGATCTCTTGGCTGGTGTTGTGGGGAGTGTTTGGATACGAAGCATCCTGAAAAATGGAAGGTTCGATGTCATGCAGAAAAAGCAGCTCCGATTCAATTTCCAGCGTAGCATCAGGCATATGCAGAACGGAGTCACTCTTACTTCTTACAATGTTCACCTCGAGGAACTCCATATTGAGATCATGCTCTGACTGAACCTCATCGTGGAACATGGAGGCTCCGTAAGGCTCCTCCTCACTAATTACATTCAGTCGATTCAGAGGGGGGAGACTACCACTGAATTTGACACTAGAAAGTGTGTCTCCTTCCTCATCAATCCTGTCCTGCTGAGGGTTATATTGCTCTTCTTCGATGCTAAAAAGGTGGAGAGCAACAGACACGGAGAAGATAATGGCTGCAAAGAAGAAAAGGACTTGCTCTTGAGATTTAAAAATACCACCCAAGAAAGTCTGTGTCCAGTCCAGTCCTCCCAACATATAACCGATTGCTCCTCCAAGACCTGTGCAAGAGAGAAAGGAGTTTCGTCAATAAGCAATAACCTCAGATCACCAAAAAGGCACACTCAATCTGACAACGAGCTGCTTACACCAGACAACCTTAACAAAATCTAAATGAAAGCTTCTTCGATTTTGGTTTCAAAAGTTAAGAAAATGGCAGATTAGTTCACTTCTTCAGTAGTGCGTCTTCTTTGTGACATGCTGATACACTCTAACTCAGGACCACATGGGAGGGAGTTTCAGGACTAATTCCTGATGTCCTGTGCCCTCAGGGTTTTCATGCATCCATAAATGCACAGAAGAGAAAATAAGACACTTTTGTGCAAAGCTGTTTTTTGAGGCAGTACGGCTGCTACTGCACAGGAGGCAGGCAGTTGCTCCCATATTCTCAAAGGATGAGAGGTACCTGAAGTGTACGTGTTCAGGAAAAAATAAATACAGCACTGTGTTTACAGAAGGTGTCTTCACACTGCTGTCTCTGAGACATAGAATCACCGAGGTTGGAAAAGGCCTCCAAGCTCATCCAGTCCAACCATCCACCTACCACCAATACTTCCCCACTGAATCACATCCTTAGTACATCTAAACATTCCTTGAACACCTCCAGGGACAGCGACTCCACCAGCTCCCTGGGCTGCCCATTCCAGCACCTGACCACCCTTCCAGAGAAGAAATTTTTCCTAACATCCAACCTGAATCTCCTGTGGCACAGCTTGATTCTATTCCATCTCGTCCTATTGCTAGTTATGCCTTAGAAGAGGCTGACCCTCATCTCACCACAACCTTCTTTCAGGGAGTTGTAGAGATCAGTATGGTCTCTTGAATCTCTTCCAGACTGAACAATCCCATACTAAACAATCCCAACAAATGAACATATATTGCTAATGAAAGGTGCAACAGTAACTCAGTTGTCTGTCATTTACTGCCTTATTCTCATTTCTACATATATAAGGCTCATTAACAAGTACAGTACCTGGGTTTAAACCTGTTTTCACTTCACAGATATATTAAGATACATTCTCTTTCAGGTTACATTGCTGTTACTCTCTCCTCTGACAAGAAGGAATCAGGATTAACAAGAGACACCACCTGAATTTGCTCCAGTTTCCCACTACTCAGTTTTGACTGTTCAGCATAAACTTCAGAGGAGGGACTATCCCATTTTCACAGAATCGCAGGGGTTGGAAAGGACTTCAAGAGATCACTGAATCCAAGTCCCCCATTAAAGCAGGTACTCTATAGTAGTTTGCACATGTAGGCATCCATACAAGTTTTGAGTATCTCTATAGAAGGAGACACCATAACCTCTCTGGGCAGCCTGTTCCAATGCTGCATGACTCTAGCCATAGAGCCATCACCTGTACTGATGCTTGTGGTTACTCCTCCCCTGGTGCACAACTCACTTGTTCTTGTTAAACCTCATTAGGTTCCTCCCTGCTCAACTCTCCAGTCTGCCCAGGTGTTGCTGAATGGTAGCACAGCCTTCTGGTGTGTCAGCCACTCCTCCCAGCTTTGTATCACCACCAGATTTGCTGAGGTTGGACTCTATCCCTTCATCCAGCTTGTTGATGAAGATGTTGAACAAGACCCAACCCAGCACTGACCCCTGAGAAACACTGCTAGTTACAGGGCTCTAGCCATACAGCGCACCACTGATGAGCACCCTCTGAGCTCTGCCAGTCAGCCAGCTCTCAATCCACCTCACAGAGAATGTGGGATAGATGAGTGGTTGGTGAGGTGAATTTCACAATGAGGATGTTGTGGGAGACAGGATCAAACGCCTTGCTGAAGTCAAAGTATACAACATCCACTGCTCTCCCCTCATCTACCCAGCCAGTGGTGACATCACAGAAGGCTATTGGGTTAGTCAAGCATGATTTCCTCTTGGTAATCCATGTTGACTACTCCTGATATCCTTCTTCTCTTCCAGTCACTTGGAGATGGCTCCAGAACAAGGTATTCCATCACCTTTCCAGGGACAGAGGTGAAACTGACTGGCCTGCAGTTTCCCAGATCCTCCTTATGCTTTCTGAAGACTGGAGTGGCAGCAGCTATATCTTCCAGTCTTCAGGCACCTCTCCCATTTGCCAGGACCTTTCAAAGATGGTAAGAGAGCAGTTCCACAGTCACCTCTGCCAGTTCTCTCAGCACATGTGGGTGCATCCCATCGGGGCCCATCTGGAGCTTAGAAGTGTTGTTTAAGCACCATTCAGCTCTGATGGGCCCCCTTACTTTCTAACACTCTAGCCCATGGGACATAGAATCACAGAATCCTTAGAGTTGGAAGGGACCTCTGAAGGCTATCTAGTCCAAATCCCCTGCAGTGAACAGGGAAACCACAGCTAGATCAGGTTGCCTTTATCCAGCCTTGAAAGTCTCCAGGTGTGGGGCATCAACCACATTACTAGGTAATCTGTTCCAGTGCCTCATCACCCTCACTGTAAAAGATTTTTGCCTTATATGTAACGTAAGTCTGCCCTCCTTGAGCATGAAGCCATTTCCCCTTGTTGTATCACCACAGACCCTGCTAAAGAGTCTGTCCCCTTTTTTCCTGTAGCTCCCCTTCACATATAGAAAAGCCACTATCAGGTTATCTCTGAGCCTTCTCTTCTCCAGGCTGAACATCCCAAATAGGTCTCTGAAGAAGTCAAAGTGGCTCTCCTAAAGTCCTGGGTAGCAATTTTACTCATTGCTCTGCTTCTTCCACACAAGATCTTGAACTCATCATATTGTGATTGCTGCATCCCTAGCTTCCCCCAGCCATCACATCCCTGACCAGCCTTTCTAATAAAGACAAGGTCAAGTAGCACAGCCCTTCTCCTTGGCTCCTCCACCATCATTTCGGCTACACAGCATCAAGTACCTAATTTTTATCAAGTGACTGAAAAGGTTTATAATACTAACAACTATATTATTGCTTTAAGCCACAAGGTATGCGCCCTTTGTATTCACCTTTTATACAGTATAAGTACTTTTTCTATTCTTTGCCTAGTGGTTCATACAGATATTTTCTCCAAGGCAGTTCCACTGTGAGCTTCAAGACTGCTACGAAAGTGGCAGTGGTAAATTATGAAAAATAAGCAGTGAGAAATCAATTCAGTCACAACTTGGTCATCAGGACGAGATGGCAGCTGCCAGCCAGCAACAAATCAGTCGACTACGTACCAGCTGAAAAGGCATGGATGTTAAGGGCCATATCTTGTTCTTCACTGTCCACCACGTCCAACAGGTACGCCCGAATCGGCCCTTCTGTTGCATCAGCGCAGAAGTCCAACACCACAACACCAAGCACCGTGAGGACGATACCGATGGGCTGCCTGTCTGGGGCATCGCCAATAGCCAGACCTGAGGAAAAACAGGTGAGGAATCTGAGCACATGAGCACAATTTTGCTAAAAGCAAAAGCTGCTAAGGGCAAGGTTAATCTCCTTAAGAGAAAAGTGGCTAACACACTCATGGGAAACATTCTATTGCAGAATAAAATGGCGATTTCAACTCTCTGGCACACCTTTATGGAAGGTCTGGAACAGAAGATTGTGTTTTTGCATTTTTGAGGCTGATATTTATTTTTCAAAATGCTATTTTGAAAGTCTCTCTTAAAGCTCTGATTGCATCAGGTATTAATTCACATTCCTTGTGTGTTTTCCTCCATATGCTGAAGGCTGTTTTACAGACAAGCCACGATGGAAGAGGAGAGCATCCAAGAGCAAAATGACAAACTTCATCTATCACTTACAAACGCAAGTAAGTGCACAGCTGACAGCATTCCTGACGTGGCTCCTAGCACATAATGGTTGCAGTACAACGGGATTAAACGGAATTTAATCTCCTCACCTCTGTCTCTGCTTTTCTTAAGCATTTGTATTTTCTACACCACTTTCACGTGCAAAACATTTAAGGGTAAAGCAACATGAAGGTATTTATAGGTCACTGCAAAAAGCATCAGTCAGCTTCTGTGGATAGCGTGGGATGAAGTACGTTTTGTCTGCTCAGAAAGGCAGCAGTACTACACTGCTGGAGAATTTTTCATGAAACTAATCATGGGCAAAAGCATGAATACTTGAATCAGAAGGATTTAGCTGTTCCACATACAGTAATGATTTTATCAGTCTGGCAACTGATGAAAATGACGGTGGAAAAAGATGAACTGGCTAAGCCATCCAAAACCACCTAAATCTCAACTGCTGTGATTCCTGCACACCTCATCCTCATTGCCTCATGTTCTTGGAATGCTACAGAAGTCTCTTTGTGTTCCACACTGGGTTGAAAGTTACAGCAGGAAACACCAGCAGTGTCAGTGCTTTCAATTTGTTGCAAATCTCAACAGGGCAGTAGAGAGAACTAGCACGGGCTGTCTACACGTAGCTGTATTCCTGGGAGGTGTACAGTATTCACTGCCTTTTTTTCTCTGAAAAGTGATACAGGCCACCATTACAGTTAGGCTAACATTGTTTCATTATGAAGCTGCTCTCGATAAAAGACTAGGTGGCTGGTAAGAGTTGAATGCCAGCATCAAGTCTTTATCTTCCAGTATGGAACAGGCTGTAGAAGACCACAGAATGGCCCTCATTCCAGCTGAGTTTGCTCCAGGCTCCCTTCTTTGAAGAAATTTTATTGCACAAAAATAGCACTAGAATACTTGAAACCGAGGTGTGGAAATAAGAGCTCCTTGTCAATTATAATGGCTGGACTTGATGACCTTGGAGGACTTTTCCTACCTAAATGATTCTATGAATGTAATTTCAATCTTGTAATAGGGCTGCAGTCTATTATTATGTGCACATCTAGAGGAGGAGCAAATTTTGGAGACACAGTGCCAAAGTACAACTAATGACCACAATTCAAATAATTAATACTTATTGCTTGGGTGAATTTAGCTCATCAGTTTGTCCACAGCAAAAGAAATTGAAAGCCATTGTATGTCATCCCAACCTGGCTTTGAAAACTAACATGCTGAGCTAAGGTAATGTTCCCCTCATTTCCTCAATTAGTACAACCTCTTCACAATAGAGCTGTAGCTTTCCCAAAAGCAGAGAGCCAAGAGGATATTATTAGGTGCTAAGTTCCTTTCATTTGCATCATGATGTAAACATTTCCCCAAAGGTACTTGCTGTCACCTCTCTTACACTATATTTACAAAGAGTCTTAGATTGTAGATTAAGCTCTGTAGTAAACCCTGCTCACGGAAAAACTATTTTTACCAGCTTTGATGGGGGCTCTGGAAAAATTATTTTCCCACATAGTTTTTGATAAACAAATATTAACTGTGTTCTGGACTTTTTCAATACCGGATCTAAGAAAAGCACAAGAAAAAGTGAAAAGATAATTTTTGAAATAATGCTGGAAACAGGATGTGTTGTCAGATATGCATTAAAGGGAAAACGGATCACAACAGGAAACGTTTCCCTGTGAACAGGTTGCTACAATTTTCCCATGTCAAGGATCAACGAAATTCGTCTCAGCGACTGCAAACATTATGCTGGCAACCATTGTATGAATAAAGCCGTGTTAACAGTCACAGCTACGACTGCACAATACTCACTACACTCAGCACAGCACTGTAGCTTCTGAGTGAAAGTAAAAAGCATTTAAAATGGATAGCTCAAGTGCAGCGTTGCAAAGATTGTTACAGAACACAGTATGGTGATTCAGCTGCTGGTTGTAATATTCACTTCTTACAGAAAAATCTGAATGCAGATATGCTACCAGGTGATATATGCAGATGATTTCCTCGTCATTTACCTATAACGGAGCCATTAAGGAAAAGTGCAACTCCAAAGAGGACACCGATGCAGAGAGCAAGGATGAAAGGCCGCCGGCGGCCCCAGCTCAGCGTGCAGCGGTCACTAGCTGAACCTATAAGTGGAGTGAAGATCAAGCCCAGGATTGGGCTAAGGAACCAAGTGAGGCTGTAGTACTGTTCAGGAAGACCTACAACAAAGACAAAAAGGATTAAAGTTATGTGGCATGCACCAAACGTTTTACTTTACACAGGGAATTTTATCATACCTTTGAAAATTGTGAACTGATCGTTCATTCACTTATGTTTTGTTCCCAACAAACAACTCAGTTTACATTTCTTATCAACGGGAAAAGCACAGGTCGTGTATTACATACCTTTAATTCAACAATAATATATTTAAGCTACTCAAATCACAATAAAGAGTGACCTAACAGTGTAATCACTAATCTACAATAATTACTACCCTCCAAAAAAATCACTTTTTTGCTGAACTTCAACAGCAGCTGAACATCACAGTGGTACTGAACATCCAAGACCATCCCTTGTAACCGAGTTATTAAAGACTTAACGGGCTGAGGATGATGGACAGCATCTGACTGGTAAGAAGAGAAGACCCCAAAGCGCTGCTCTGCACGCTCCACCACGGCAAGCAGTGGCCTGCAGATGGCAGGCTGGTCCAGAAGAGCCGCGCTGTGGTCCTCTGACATCTGTTCCCATCTCAGTTTATCAGCACAGGCCATGTAACCCCTCTGACAGGCTCTTTAGCAAAGCACTACAAACAAAACAATCAGTTGCTGGCAATCCAAGCGATGCCAGGGCTGAAAAGCTCGGTGTCTGTGCCCTATAGAGGAAAACCATACATTATTCAGAGCTGGATGCTGTGAGTGCAGTAGCGTGCAACCTTTGCTGGTGAGATCAACCTGCACCTCGTGCTCTGCATTCAGTGTGCTGAGCCATCCCTTAGCAGGCAGGATTATACCAATCCCTGCCCAGAACAGCCTAGGCTGTAAATCTGGAAGGCTAATCACCTGTTATTTAAAGTGTCATCAAATCCCGACCAGTGATGCTGACTTTCCATAAGATAAATCAGATTTTGCCAAGGCTGTAGTGATAACAGTAATTATATTACAGGAAAATAATAAAATAATTTTTTTTTTTTTCTCTCTCTCTTTTTTTTTCTTCCTGTAAGCTACCATAAAAAAAAAACCATCTGGATTCAAAATCCATTCTAAGGCCAAAGTCTACATGATTTAACTCAGCTTTGGCTTACACACAAGCTAACAAGTAATGCTGCCTTGATGGGCACCGAGTTATGGGGAGAGATCTGCATGTTCCAAGCCTGCCTGGCATATGCTTTTAGACCAAACATACCCTTCAGCACCCTGCCTTTCCCATGGGGAATGAAGAAAGCATATGATTTGACTGCCAACCCTGTCTGAAGGCAGCTGGAGGCTGCACCTGAGGCCAATCCTGCACAGGACAGTTACCACACAGCTTGTCTTCTTCTGCAGCAGGTTTTAGGTCTCTAAGAAATACAATCTGTGTTGGTACAGGCAGCACCTTGGTCACATCAGGCAAAGTATAGTGCAAAGTATCACTAGCAGGCCAAGGGAAGGAATCCTTTCCCTCTACTCAGTGTTGGTGAGGCTGCACCTGCTGTGTCCAGTTCTGCACCCCCAGTTCAAGAGGAACACGCACATATCAGAGAGAGAGCAATGGAGGGACAGAAAGATGATGAAAGGACTGGAGCACCTCAGCTATGAGCCATGGTTCTTGCACTGTTCCTCCAGATCCTGACTGCAGTTCCACCACTGAGCTTCTTTTACAAGTGCTCTCCTAATCACAGGTACAAGTCAGCAATCCAAAGAGAAATGCAGAGGAAACCTCCCACTCTCTGTGATTTTAACATCTTCAACCTCACTGAGCTCAACAGCCTTCCCAAAAGCACAAGTAGGATCAGGGTCTGTGTGCTTAACTGGTACCTCACCTGCTCCTGGATGCTGCCACTTATGCACATCTGCACTGGCATACAGAAGCTGGCTTGCTCCAAAGAAAATTAACTGTAGCAAAGTGGAGGCACGTGGCTCAAGGCATGTAAAACTAAATGCTGAGCAGGTTATGATATACTTAAGGTGGATGGTTTTTTTTGCAGGACATGGAAGGCACATCAATGCATAAACACTCTTCCCCTTTTGCTTCTGCAGGGCCATCCTTTTCAGAGGCAGTTACGCATCAGAGGTTTCTATTCTGTGGTGACAACTCACTGCAGCAAGTCTGTTTTAAAGAAGTCCACACACTGTGTTTAACCAACTGGAAGCAAACGCCAATGTAAGAAAATGGATGCAATCAAGAGGCTTCTTTTTTTTAATATTCCAACAGCCATTGAGACAACTAACTTAGCCAAAAGGCTTTGAGAAGGAAGACCTATTCCTGTTTTAATGCAGGCTGTAAGCTGTAACAAAAAGGAATGCTAGTACAGCAGGGAGCTGTAACAGGAGTGAGCATCTGTGGGCACAGGGGCTTGTACAGTTTGTTGTGAAGCACTGGCACAGGATGCCCAGAGACATGGAGGAACCCCCATCCCTGGAGGCAGTCGGAGTCAGGCTGGATGGGACTGTGAGCACCTGATGGAGCTGTAGGTGTCCCTGTGCATTGCAGGGGAGTTGGACTAGCTGGCCTTTCAAGGTCCTTTCCAACACAAATGATTCTTTGCTCCTATGACTGTCCCTCAGTCCTTGCTGCCACACTTTGTATCCAGACCACGGTGGCACTTCTCTGCTAGATGGAAATCTTAGCAAAAAAAGAGTTCTTGAATCATTACCTTAATCTATCTGAAACAATTACTTCTGCATCAAATTAAAACCTATTTACAAACCATAAAAACTGCACATTTCTAAATTGGAAAGAGGTCCTTTTGGCATGCTTTATAGACACAATTAACCAGCTGGCATAAAGATGTCCTGAGATTATTAAAAAAACACAGTGATTTTTACTGCTAGCATTACTTTGACTTCAGTACTTTCAAAGTAACTTTACGTGTAATAACTCAAAAGCAGGTTAAGGCCTGCATTCTGGTTTGATGTTACAGATCAGTAAACGAAAGGAAAAAAGGGCTTCTACTCAACCTCTGTTACATTTAGTCTTATCTTTCCCTGTATGAGTCAGAGGAGAGAGACTGAAGTGCTTACTTGAGAAGGTTTTATTTCCACTGATTGAAAAGGGTGATCTTCCCATCATGTACAATAAATCAAAGCTTAAATCCAAATATTTGCATTGAAAATGGCTTGCAAAAGATAGGAATCTCAGTGATTTCAAAATAGAGCTAGGGATGTATAGTAGCTTTTATGGAAAAAAGGATACTTAACCATGTATGTAAAATTTGGAGATCCTTCTTTAGACAAACCATTTCGCATTTGTTTATTGAACTTTAGCTGCCAAAATATGCATCTTTAAGAAAAAGAGGCCAAGATAACAATCTGTACAAGAATAGCCCCATGCCAAGAAAAATAGAAGAATTCCTAAAATTCCACCCTGGAGGAGCTTTCAGTGCTCCTCCAAATAAAGAGGAAAGGAATAACTTTCAAGTGACACAGGAGAGAGCTTTGGGTAGCTATCTATCAAAGCTGAGACATGCTATTGATAAGATGTAGCCTACCCAGTGAATCCAACCTCTGGTCTGTATCAAGCAGAAGCCTGAATTATGTTCCATGCCATGAAGAGCCTACTCTCTCCATACAGACTTAGTCATCTGCTCTGATGTTTGCTGGGAAACCAGGCTTCTGTAAAGCTCACAGCCATTTTCTGCCATGGGGCTTCCAGGAAAGAGCTTCCCAAGGCACAGAGCCACACTGTTCCATCAGGTGAGACTTCAAGATGTACCCTGTAGATATTCTTCAAAATACTCATGCTTCATATCAACAGACTACAGGACTTGCATCATTTCAAGAGTTGGGTTGTTTTAGTGCTACACATTTTGATATAAAGGAGAAAGTTCTACGGGGAAGGAGAAATCCAACCCCAGTGCTTCAATCTAATCCTAATGGTTCCTTTCTCTGTGTATGTATGCTGCCATGCTTTAGCTACACAACCACTGAATACAGTATTTTACAGTATGAAGACACTTAGAAGGCATCCAGGCCAGGACAAGATGACGATGAGCAGAAACGAATAGATAAAGGGAATATTTTGACACCAAGGACTTCCTTCCAATGTCCCCTTCTAGTGGCAAGGGCTTAGATGCAGCACTTGCTTAAAATAAACTTGGCTAAGATGAGGTGCCAGGCCAGCAGCCCCGTAGCATCCAGCCTCTGATGTGCAGAATAGATGCATGGATGGCAGTTTGGACTTTATGATTTTATGGCAGCTCTGCAGCGTGAGCTTGGCATCCAAATGTCTGCCTTGCCACAGCCTCTTACAGAGGAATGTAAACTGCCCCAACCTCTGAGAGCTGCTGTGCTCACCTGGAACAGGCTGTAACTAGGCTGGGACTGATTTTGGATGGCCAAGAGCAATATTGTGTAACAAACACTGTTAGTGGAGGCTGCTGAGACTCACATGCGGACTGGAAGGACAAAGCAGCTGCATCCCATTACCAACTGAAGAGAAAATAAAAGCATAGCCTTCATTTTCCACCAGTGTGCTTGCCTGGTCGGATGGTAGCTCCAACAGAGCTACTGCTGTGCATCAACTTGGGGGAAAAAGTGAGGAATAGTAGCTGGAGCATTATCATTTAGTGTTCTGTTGATGGCAAATCAGAGGAAACACTGAGAAAGAAAAACATACTGGATAAACAAGGTTAATATTTGTGTGCCATGAACTGAATGCAGAGCAGGTCACAAGTCAGACGCAGAAGTCCCATACAAATCAGTGAGAAAAAGAGCAAAACACAACAACAGCTTCTGTTAGCAGCGCTGACTGCCACTGAGACCCTTGTAATATGGCATTTCCCAGCCAGCTACAAACAAACAGGACACTGGCTTCTAGTAAATAAGGGTTTGTTTTTTCCCAGACAAAAAAGTGCCCAACAATAGTGGGACCAGCACTGCTCACGGTTCACAGGAAATGCTCACTGTGTCACCATCAGTCTAAGGGCTGCGTGAGGTCACGAGTTACATGGAAGAAAGATTAACTCCCATACAGCAGTTTCTATTCAAAACCTCTTTTTGATAAGTTCTATTGGGGGAAAAAT